ACGGGCGGGAGAAGATGCTCTTCTCTTTTCTGCAAATATCCTACTTCGTAACACCAGATGTAAACTCGCGTTTCTTTGAAAATTACCACCGGTAATTTTAAGCTGCGTGCGATCCGAAACGGTATTGCCGTGTCGTGAAAAAGCCGCGCTTAAGCTGCAACCACCGGGCTAATGTGGCAGATACCTCCCATAGCGAAATTAAGGCAAATCGTGTGCGGGTCCTCGCCATACGACACTATTCCACTGGGAAAATCGATATGCAAATCTACGCGCAAATCCTAGTAATCTTGCTCACCCGTCCCTGCAGCCCTTGCAACGGCTCAACGGGTGGATGGCGTACACCGTTGACACCGTCGCCCCTTTCGCACCTCTTATCCACCCAATTTCTTTCTCTCCGCTTTTCTTCTTTCTCTCCCTCTCAGTCTGCATAGTTTCTCTCTATCATTCTGTCTGCGATGCTCATTTCAGCAGCGAGAACACGTTCTTTCCCTCTCGGCGTGCTCTCGTTGCTCGTTGCGCAGCAGGACTACGACATGGGTAGATGGGTGAGAGGTTATAAAACGGGGTTAGCCCGGGTCTGAAGGATCGTGTTCGTCGGCCACCTTCGACGACAGGGCTTTATCGAGGTGAAAAAGGTTGCTCGACATCGACCTCCCGCCGCCATGAAGTGAGCAACCATCGCCCGCAAGCCTGCCTAGCACCACCCTCTTGCTTTTTCCCTTCTGCGCCCCGTCGTCGAGTCGTTTTCGCGGATGTCTTCGCGTAGGTTTTTTCCGCGCAGCTAGATGGGGAAAACGATCCAAGTGCTCTCACGCGACGACGAATTATTATCGCGCGGTTTACTATCGTACTTCTTATATGTGATCCTCGTAATTTTGAGCCGGATATTGATGCCAATAAAATTTTTTATGTCGCTTGGCTCCAATGGATAACGCTAACATCGGACAAGTATGTCGTTTTGTACTATTTTCGATATAACTATGATATATAATAATATTGATGGATCCGTCTTATTGATAAAATCTTTTAATTCATTTTTAAGCTGTATTTTTTAAATTTTTAATTGAAATCGAATTTTGTGCATTTGTAATTATCAACAGATCAATTAGCGAACCTGATGATTATATTTCAGTTTATTTTTAGGCCAAAATAAAATCTCTTTTCGATATTTATTATCATAACATATCTAGATTGATTTATTTTAATTCCAATACTGTTGCAGAGTACTTAACTGCAGAGTATATTAAAACATATAGAGATTCGTTTCATGTTAAAGTTGATTGCAAAATAACAAAAAAATTTTGATTAGAGCCGTATTCCGTCTGAACGAACCGTTTTGTTTTCCGCGCTGGTTTATTTATGTGAGGCGGGAGAAAAGAAAATGTACGTCTCTAGTAGCTTGTATTTGTGGGAGGTCAGCGCGAAAGGAAGGAAGACAATCAATCTTGATCCCAATTATCGCGTCGCTCAGCGACTGTAATTGAGTCGGTTTCGAGCCTCCGACCGCTTCCATCCACGACGTTTCTTTTGTAATGCCGGAAGACTGAAACAATGGAGGCATAGAGGTTTGCCCGTTGCGTTCGCATAAGTCGACTGGAAACATTTTTTGGCTTTACCACACCTGCTCGTTTCGCACCGATAAGTTATCAAGAGACGAACCGCTGAAAATTATTTACTATCTTTATATCGATTAGACTTTTTTCACTTTCTAATATTCTCAATACATACTTTATATTCTTCCTATTATATAATATAACCAAAAATTGTACTTGCAGCTTTATTGAATTTATATAATAATTATACACAGTTAGTTGTATAAATATATCATAATTTGTATGAATGATTATATAGAAGTTTAATAGCAAAAAATAGCTATAGAGAATATAACATTAAAATCCTTTTTATAATTACTTTAACAATAATTATTTATTAATTTAAATATTTGCACAATATATGCGATAATTAAATTAACATGCAATAGTAACGAATTTATTTCAAAGTTTATCTGTATGAAAGATTTTCAGGAAGATTATTCAACTTCAAATTTGGATCTACAGAAATTTAAATATTCTATACAAATCTTATATTAAAAAAAATAATACTATATGATTTTAGGAGAACACAGTTAAGCCATATATGTTTGTCTGTACAAACTTGATCTTAAAACGAGCGTTAATACGTGACTCAGAAGTTATTGCTTCATTTCAGAACATAATAAGCCTTCTACGAATCGGCAGCGTGAAAATAAAGCTTTCTTTGTGTGCTGCCTTATGTTAGGCTATTCATCTAAGCGGATAAACATGAAATTGAATATTACTTATTATCTTAGGTTTATGTACAGATATCAGGTTTAAACCTATTTATATTTTTAGAACCAGGCGAATGGTTTCTGCGATATCTTCTGTGCATGGTATAAATTTTCGCAGCGCACAAGTATCAACTAGTGTCATAAGTTACATTGGTTGTTTAAAATGTCAAATTGTTATTTTTTTTATAACTGCTTTGTCCAAATCTAAGATATCAGTATTTATACTCTATTTTATTTATTATATTATTATTAATTGTAATTATTTATAATTAATAACTTTTAATGTACTGTGTACATTATTAGATGATACAATTTTAGTGTTTATTATTGAAAAAAATAATTTAGCTGAATGTTGTACTTTTTATTGTGTTTATACATTTTGTAAGTTTACATTGAATGCATATAATGAAAAATAAAATAAGACTATATTCAGACATCAGCATGTAAATTTTATATTATAATAATTAAATATAAATATGTTTAAAATTTGACAGTTTGTGTTTGAAATCTGCAGTTCGATAATAATTAATTATTGTACACAACATCTTTCTTGAAATTGTAAATTAATTTTAATTATATATATTAGTAAGAAACACAATTACATTTGATAATTCTGATTTTTAATGATTTTTTTGTATTATAGAAAAATATAAACTTATATTAAATTTAACTTTGTTTGAGAATGAAATAGTTCAGTCCTTAAAAGATTTGTGAGATATTACATCATTACATATGAAATTTATGAGAGGCTATCCGTTTTCGGGGATCCTCTAAATATCATTAAAGTTTCATTAAAATTAGAGGGGAGCGTTTCGCACAGCTCCCTAGAGAATGCTGTTTCTTATCAGTAGGCCCTTTAAATCAACTTTAATACTGCGCTCACTAGTTGGCATCATCTAGAATGTATAGCTTAAGCGTCCCAAAATCATATTTATGTTCATTATTACGATATTTATTGGCGTATTTGATAAACAAAATTGATCATTATTTATATGAGTTACACTTTATTGAGAAACTATTTCTTCTTTGAGTTCTTGAAATGTTTAACTTTTTAAATTTTTTAAACATTGGATATCATTTTGTTTGTTCTCAAACTTTTTTTTTTGTATTGTTATACCTTTCTAGTGTATCTTTAATATTAAATTTAAACAGAAAATGAAGACTTTTATCGGGCTTAAAGAATTACTCCGGTTAAATTACACTGAAAATCAAATACACTTTAAAACAGTTAATTACACTAAAAATAAAAATAGAATAGACATTGAAAACAATTGTTCGTGAGAAGCAATAAATGTTGTCAACGTCAAAGCCCCCGCAGACATTGATACGCGTTGTATACTTGCCATGTTACCTTGTGCAAGAGCAAACGCTCGAATCTTGTCTCATGCAATTAGTCGAGCTTAAACCGCTCCGTGTCAACGAGAGGTTGGCTCTCGGAGAGCGCGACGACGCGGAGAACGGCGGCAGTGACGGTGGCGAAGATGATGAAGAGGGTGGAGCATTTCCTCTCAATGGGTCGAAACTTTCTCGTGGCGGGTACCTACACATTATTCCTCGAAACTCTCGAATGTGCTTAATTAGGCGATATTTGAGCGTTCGTCCCGCCGACGCTACCACCAACTCGACCCACGGCTTCCCCTTGGCCGCCCAACTGACGCAAACCCCTCTGTCTCTGACAGAGTTTACGTTCGCAAGCCGCTATTACCGAAAGCCACTGGATTTCCGTAAGAAAGCACAGGCGACTGGCTGGTGGTGGCTACCACTCGGTCCTATATAGACGTCTTACCTGAACTAATATTGTTAAGGTCTAATTAGTACCACCGCGACACCAAGCGCGACCTCTTCTCCGCGTCGTCTCACCTACCCTTCCTTCCTTCATTTCCCGCGGGCTTCCGTTTCTCCACCACGAGCCTCTTTCCGAGACTCGACTCGGCACTCTCGACGATGCTCCTTCCACCTTCCTGCCTTCGTGCCACTTCCGTATTCCAACCTTGCACCCGCAACTTACCTCATAAACCGCGTTACAGTTCGTCCCAACATCCAAATTATGAGAAGGAGAGGCTGAGTGAGAGAGAGAGAGAGAGGCAGAAGCAGAGAGAATAATCGAAAACCCGATATGAAAAGTGGATAATGATAGGTGATTTTTGGATATTAGAGAGCCACATCATAGACTACTTATACGCAAATTCGTTTTTTATATCCAAATTATAGACGAAATTATAGACGTATTACATATTGTTTTATAGAAGGCAATATCCCATATCCAATATGTATGTATTCTGTGCAGATATAAGGATAGATATTATAAATCATGTATATGGCGTCGCCGAAAACAGTATTCACGTTATTATTGATATATCATATCATGTAGTATTGTTATTGGTTTCGAGTATCAAATATCTCACCGATCATTATATTCGCGAGGACAACGAATATCGAGTATTATATTTTACAATCCCTCGTCCAATTTCATTATTAATACATATATAATATATATCCAGCTTTCAATATTAATTGTTAGAACAACGTTAGATAATTCTGTATACGATGGAGGCAACTATAGAAAGAAATTCAGTGAATACTACATAATATGATGTCCAAAATAATTTGATTCCGATTTATAAATCAACGTAATTATCGAAAAAATATAATAGTTGTAGTAAACTGATTTTCTGCATTTTTTTTCTTTTAGGGTCGGTGTAATCGAGAGAAGCCACCTTGCAAGTATTTTCATCCCCCACAGCATCTGAAGGACCAACTCTTGATAAACGGGCGCAATCACTTAGCGCTGAAAAACGCACTGATGCAGCAGATTCAGCAGGGCCTTACGCCGGGTCAGACTCTTGTGCCCGGGCAGGTACCCGCAGTGGTATGTCTAACAAATTAACACGATCGTTGCACCACTTCTTATGCTATCAAGACAGTCACACACTTTCTTTTATCACACAGTAATATCTGGATTTTGTCTGTGTTTAGTCGAGGGTTACTAGATTATCTTATTCGATAGGCAACGCTGCGTAGATTACTGACGGCGTAGTGTATAAGCTTTCTTTTCACGTTACCATCGTATCAAGAAATTTGAAGCTAAACGCTGTCAATGTATAGAAGCTACGTTTGCGTATACGCAATTTTTATATATTATCCTTAAATTCAAACGCTTTACAAACTTCTCCAATAAGGCTCGAGTCATTATGAACGCAGCACTTCGCCGTCCATATTTACAAGCGTTCCCTCTTGCGGACATTGCACCGAGAGATAAAGTTTTTAAGAATTAAAGTTCAGCACGTCGCATGTTCTTGGTCAGTGTCATCCTCACTTCCTAGAGTAAAACCTGACTTATCCATATATTTTGATAGACAGTCAATTTACAGAATCGAATCTCTTTGATCGGCAATTCTTAATCTTATTTTTTATTACAGAATGTTTTGAAATTATGATGACACTCGTGATTTTTATTTTTATTATTATTCTCACTCGTGAATTTTTATATGACAAGTATGTGAGATGTATTTAAAATATTTAATTATATCTTTGATTCAAGAACTTTTTAAATAACTTTTAAAATTAAATAGTTTTTAGAGCGCGAAACGCAAGTTAAGACTCTTTAATGTAGAAGTATTAGTTTCTTATCGCGAAATTTCTCACACTGTACGTATTTATCATTTAACGGGGGAGGCTTGTTAATTATGAGAAAAGCACTATCGACGCATCAAATTTCCAAACGATGGAGTAGGGTTTAGACGCGGGAAAGTTTCGTCGACTTGTCAAGATTTCACGCGATATCGCATGCGTTGTTGATACGGCATTTTGGTAATTTTGATGATCGGACTCGACTAAATTTTCGACAACTGAGGAAACTTCTAGGTGTTTTTCCTAATCTCCTCTGTTTCGCGTGCATCTCTAAGTCGACCGATACGCAAAATTATGGTTTATTTTGTTTTTAATTAAAGAAACAATCAAAACTCTCGTTATTAACGTTTGCTCTTCTTGTTCTTTTTGTTTACTCATGATATACATTCATATTCGTTGCTACGTGACATTAAACCCTATACTATGACTGCCTGTCTGTCCCCTATGTTTGCCGCTGTGGCTCACGTGGTTGTGGTTGATTGTTGGTGTGTTCTCCAATTACGTCATTGGTGAACAGGAGGCATCGGCACCTCCGGCACCACACCATCACCTTCAACAGCAAATCCAGCAGCAACTTCTCGCTACCCACGCCTTTATGGTAACTCCTGGTTTTGGTTGGCTTCCACTAATTTTTAGTTAATTTAATGCCACGCTGGCTAGCGGTGGATGTAAAGATACTTGCATTTATGAGTTCGTAAAAAGAAACAAGTGACAATCTGTATTTAGTTTCAATTTTTAATACACTTATGCCAAATGAATTACTACTTTCATAAGTTTACATCCACTGTAGCTATTCAAGCGATGTGCCTGTAATTAGTAAGCGTTCGTACGAAAGCTTAAACTTTTATTTTAAGAGCGCGCCGCATAGTAAGTCAATAATTTATTTGCATGCTTTAGGAAATGTTTTTGTTTGTTTATTGAGGAAAGAAAATTTGTTTGTATATGTTTTCGTAAAGTTTTCCCGTAGAAGAGAAGAGCATGATGTATTGCGGCTAAATAAAATTTGCGCGTTCTTTGACTCTGAAAACGACGAATGTTTCTTCCTTCTCTTTAAAACATTTTATATTCTACGAAATATTTTACGTTTAACATTATAACAATAAATATTTAGATATAAAAATTATTAGACTTTTTAAATATAATGAGAATAAAACTTAAAAGAGTCAAAGAGACAAAGAAAGAGGATGCGAGGCAGGGTAATCTTGAAAATATTAACGATCTTACAATATTTCATTTTGATATTAGTAATGAAATTTTTGTTTCCTGATACACTCTGAAAAATTAGAAAGCTGATGTCTGATCATATAATAGCTCAGCTAATATTTTTCAACAGTTACCTAGCCGCGTTTCCGAGAGCTTTTTTTTACAACGACGAAAGCTCCCAGGGTATCAGAGGCTTTTGAGAAGAAGGAACGAGTATTCTGCTCGTTCGGATGCGCTTGAAATTACTTGCCTTCGCTTCTGGGAGCCAGCTCTCGCTGCAAAACCAAACGCTTCGTGTGGGAACGTACGCTTGTCGTTAAAAGTGAAGGGGAGGGCACAAGAGAAGAGAAAAAGGACGATTAAGGCTTTGCGAGATCCGTAAACGAGACGTCTTTTCTTTGCAAATTCTTGTCTTTAGCACGTTTTTCAGATTTACTGCCTCTAATTAATCTCCTTGTAGGTATACAATATCACGCGTGCAGTAGAATTTCAAAATCACTTTTTAAAAGTTCTTTCCAATGTCTTTATTTATCAAATTTTGATATTGATAATAATTTTATAATATAAATGATAATTACAAATAAAATTTAATTTAGATATATATAATTATATAATAATTATCTATTATTCTATAATAATTTTATAGCGCTAAGTTCATGTGTACGTCATTTTGAGAGTATTTTAATTTAATATTATTTTAAATTATAATGCTAGAAAAATAAAATATTTAATTAAATTCATTTCAGAGAAAAAATTAGAATTAATTCGATAATAATAATTTTATTTAGTTAAATTGTACCAGATGAATCGAAACAATATGTATATAATTTTCATATTTCATATACTTTTTTATCATGTTAGAATCTGTTTAGAGATCCGAACATTTGAATTTAATTGCAATTATAATACATATTTTAATATATATTTCTATGTATCTTATTTGTTCTAAATTCCTAGAGTTTTGCCGATAAATATTAAACAACTTAAGATGGTTGTGTATCAATTTCTTCTCAGCAATTTATTAATATATAATTTTCCTTTATTACACGTTGTTATTACACCAGATATTAACGATGTTCCTTATTTATCCAAAATTGAAGCAGATATGGCTCGTAAACCAAGCGATGTATATTGCGCGCCTTAAAGTTGATAAACACCGGAGAGCATTGCTCGCAAAGCTTTAATGTACCTTGAGGCAGAATTTACACGGACATTCAGAAATGGTAGATTGCATATACAGAGTATTTGGTAATTGGTGGCACAAGCGGGAAACGTTAACTTCTTGTTGGAGTTGAACTGCTTAATTTGAAACGAGTTGATTTGTAAAAAAAATCTTTTTTTGGAAACAATTTGTCATTTTTAAATTATTTGTAGTCAATATTTTCTATATATTCAATTGTAATCATTATCGAAATTGTGTATGTTTATCAATATGTAATATACATTATGAATGTAGAATAAAAATCTCTTTATTTTTGCAATGGTTTGTGATATTTAACTTTTTCTTAAGAATTTTTAGGAATTGCTGAATTAAGTAGCGTTTTTTTTCTATGCAACTTACCATATTCAAATTTAGTATTCCTATTTTTCTATTAATCCTTATTAATTAAATAATTTGAAAATATTATTGCATTTACAAAAAAGCAATTTTTGATCAAATTAACTCGCTTTATATAGAGACACATATTTTAACTGGCCACTAATATCAATACTCCGTATAGAAATATTTAGGTGTAAAGCACGCGTTTCAATGGTCTCGAAACCGCGCGCGTCGCGACGTGTACAATCGAAAACGCGTGGAGCGAAGGCAGGGACAGGTGTGTTCTAATCCATGTTACCTGGATATCTTCCGGGTGTGTTTTCGCAGGCGACGAATCCGTACCTGACCGGTATGCCGCAGGTTAGCAATACGTACAGCCCGTACTTCGCGCCCAGCCCGATAATGCCGGCGATAATGGGCCCGGCGGACCCAACGGGCGTCGGCAGTCCGCTCGGCGTGGTACCGCAGACAGTGGCGATGCCGCAGAAGATGCCACGTACCGACCGCCTCGAGGTATGTCTACCACCAAACTACATTCAACAACAACAACAACAACAGCAACAACAACAACAACAACAGCATGGGGCCCAACACGGCGCAGCCGGGGCCTCAAGGTGCCCGATGGCCGCGCCCAGTACCGTGTACCAAGTGCCGGCCGGTCCCCCCAATCAGGTGTCGCCCGTATCCACGATGCAATCTGTCAATCATCCGCCATCCCCTACCACAATTACAACGACGTCCCTGTGCACCCCTCTGCACAATCCCCATGCCCATCATCATCCCATTCACAATCTCATTTACGTTCACGCGTATTATTAGAGAGGCTCCGACGTATAGACTTTTAAACTCGACTCGATATCGAGTCTCAATGACATTCGATTGTTCGACGAGGTAGATCGACGCCGCGCCAACGCGTTACTTCTTTTCGTCCTTTCATCTTCCCCCGCCCCCCCCCCACTTCTTTTTGCGTTTTTCTTCCCTCTCTATTTTTTCTCATGTAAGCATAACGCGTCGGGTGGATTAATCAGCCAGAGCGTAACGGTACGCCTGTGGTGATTAGAGCATAACGATGACAACGGATGAAATTGCAGCGGGCACCGAGAATATCCTGATTTCGCAGGCGAGTTATATAGACACGCGTTGCTAATTACAGTAATTTACGCCGCGCGGATCCATAAGGCGATCTGATTACTCGAGCCGGATGGCTTACGTTGGTCGTGCGAGACAGCGATCGATAATAACGGAACCAATGGATCCTGGGCTGGAAATCGGACATATTCGTTTTGAGAACATATGACAAATATTACGAAGACTATAATGGGAGAAACTTTGAGAGTATCTAGTTAGGATTACAAAGCGCTATATTTCTATACACTCATTTAATGTCACGTGTTCGATCATGAAAAGGGATGTGTATCTTACAACTAGCGGTATAAAGACAGTAGTTTCGAAATTAGCGCAACTGTAGTCGATGATTAGTGAATAAATATGATTTTGACGATGATTCCGCGATTTACATCGATTCAAAATCAATCGTAACAGCGACTGATGGCGATTAATCTCGTGTAGTAGATATTTTGGCGAATAATTTGCAATAGCTAAATATAGAAATCATAAATTTTATGAAAAACAGAGCAGACGCTGAACGTGACGAACAGCGAGAGAGGAGAAATCGAATTGCGAGAATGTCAAAGATTTTGTGCGTATATTTTGTAGTGTGAAATGATGGCAGGAAACGAAACGATGTAATGACGAGCAGTAATATATCGTCATTTAGTAAGATGTGGTGACAAAGCAAATTTAATTTAAGATACCACACGTAGAGATACAATAGATTCCTATGGATCACGAGCGACACAAAGGTCTAAAAGTATCGAGAGTATGTAAATTCTTAAATCAGGTAACTATAATGGCAACGATGAAACGTGATGAATAATTACGATTAACTTATATAGACCAGAATATATATGGCTGATTTGATAAAAGTAGACAGATTTCTAAATGTGCAACCGACAAAATTATGCATAAATATTTCAACAATATTTCACAAATGTTTTGTAAATTAAACCTTATATTTTATGTGACTTATAACTCCTACACGTTATTTTATGATATCGATAAATTGTCACAATTGCATTACGATTTATTTTTGTTTCATGAAATTGTTGACCTTTACTTAAAAAAAACACTCGCTCAGTATTACAGACAAGTTATAGTCTCGTTATTACTGCGTTTTTAGGTTAACAAAATATAAACTTTTACTAATGCTTATTGACTATCACTATTTATTTAATATGTTGAATTTAAAAACAAAACTATGTCAAATATTAATATTTTTTTACAGACTGTTTTATTATGTGTATTTCATTTTTGTTACATATATTTGATCATGATCAATATAAAATAAAGTAGACCGATTTGTTGTCATAATATATTAATGATAACATACGACAATTATCGGCATTTTTTATATACTTATCATACGAAAATAAGATAAGTGATCATTAAAGCTATTTTTGATGCGCGAATCGTTATCATTGTTTTCGGGGTTTTTTTTCGGGTCTTCAAAATGTCGTCGTTGAACGATGCAAACGATGATGCACCATACTCGTCTTATTTTCCATCTCGGGTCACACTGTTGCAAGCATCTATCTTGCAACACGATTATTTCGTAGGAAGTTGCTTCTGGCGGTTGCATCGAAATTCTGTCACTTCTGTCAAATATATACGCCTGTTTCTTAAATTAATTATTTCCTTTAGATATATACACACGTTACAAAGATACTTAGGAATAAATGTAGATTGGCGTATAATATTAATATCGTATTTCTGTAAATGCTTCGGGAAGAACAAACGAAGCTTTCCGGAATTAGAGTGCGATCTTTACAAGACGCACTCAGTAGAGATCCGAAATACGATCGTGCAATATCGCTTCGGCCTTCGGTATGCGGGCCTTCAGTTGGAGAGCGCGAGAAACGTTTCAGAAACAATAACAAGATCGCCCTGTGAAACTTCGCGTCTGCATGCACTTGGAGTTTTCTAATGCGCGAGTTCGCAGATTTCCCTGGAGCCGTCATCGCCTCTTTTCTCGTTTCGCCCGGCGGCACTCGCGAAATTAACAAGTTTTGCAAGTTGGTTTTCACAGGGCAGCCCTCTCGTGCGAGATAGTCTTTGCAAAGCGGGAGAACGAACATCGAAATAGCAGCGCAATATCGGCGTGAAAACTCGTACCGATTCATTTGCGGGGTGTTTTTTGGCATTCAACTCGCAAATAATGAACTGCTTGTTGTAAAAAGTTTCGGATTTAATATACTTGTTCCCAACATAGTCGTACGACGACGACTTGTCGGGAATACTGAATTAAAGAATAAAGTAAATTTATATTTTACATTCCGATAAAAAGATAAACGCTTTTGAGGAGATGGTAGCTCTGTTACGATTCGATATTCTTGATGCCCAGTATAACCGAATAGCAACGAATTAAAAAACTTATAAAGTAATTTCAAAAACTTACGTAAACTATATTATCAAAAATTATTGAGCGCTACATGTAAAGGAAGAAATATTTAAATGTCTTTCTCAATATTTAGAGATAATTTGAAAGCGAGAAGGCCACAAACATTAGAACGGTTGAATTCAAGGTCTGTTTGGAATATCAATTTAAGGTTTAAGACCGTTTTCACTAATTTTTAAATAATGTTTTAAAACGCTATTCTGTGATTGGTTTATGACATCTTAAGACTGTACTTAAGACGACCCTAAATATAAGAATCGATTATGAATACCAGCCTTAAAACTAATTAAATTTATTTGAAAATATAATAGATTTAGCCATTCTACTGTTAACATCCGCATAGTCAAAAGCAACGAAGGATGGCAATTACGGCGCATTAAAATTGAAAGAATTCGTAAATTAAAAGAGAGAACGTAGGAAAGAGAAATCGAAAATACCGAATGTACAGCCATGTCGATTCAATTCGGTTTGGTTTTATTATTTACGTGTTTGTACGTCGTGTCTGTGTATGTGATTATTATTCCGATAATAATTCTTATCATCGCGACTTGGTTACATTAATCAAGAGAATCAACGAACGGGATATCTCTCGCAGATTCTTTGCGAGTTATTGCACTTATGTAGCAAAATAACTTTGCAATGCAGAACGTTTCGTAGCGTTCGAAAATCTAAATATATGTACGTATGCAGAATCATATACAGATACATGACGCTTACACGCGCCGGTCCATCCATGCATACGCACATAGTGATATATGTGTACATAGTAGGTAGGTTAACAAATTAATTAATTAATTAATTGTATTTTGTATCGCGCAGAAACTGGTAGGGAAAACTGAAAGAAAATGTAACTCGCTATACCTTTATTTGAATTTACTGCAACAGATCGCGATTTTTTCTATTGCATTTAACAAAGACACACTGTATATGTACGATATGGTGTTTCTTTTTTTATAAATATATCAATTTTAGGCAATCAATATTGCAAGCTCGACCGATCGCTCTTCAACTAAGCGAAAATTAATTTTGCGCTCGCATGAGAATTTCCAGCCTGGGCGAAATATAATATAAAAAATAATTTCGGCGCGAATTAGCAATACGAGATCTTTTTATCAGTTTTATAATTATACACGTCATACCCCCTTACACCATTTTACCCCTTCCTTCCTCGTCTTTCATCTTTCATCACCATAGTGAAAACGATAGCACCCTCTCTATCCCTCTCATCCGAGATAATATATATGATCGATTTCACGTGTATTTACGATTAAGTAAAGGAAACGTTTACGAAAAAGAGTAAGGATATACACAATGTAATGTCGTTTAATGAAATATTGCAGATAGAAATCGGAAATATACGATCGATTTATTAACTAATTACGATTGATCTTACGGTAAACACTTATTATAATATTTGGTAACATACAATAACGATGATAATTAGTAATCATAACAATACCTATTTGTGATGTACTACGATGACTTGCACTGAGTTCGGGTCACGTGAAATTTATTGATGATGAATTCAAATAAAAGAAATATAATTGAAACTGGAAACGATGCACAGACTGTTTATTGATTCTTACAAGTTCACTTAATGACCAAAAAGTTTGTGTGCTTTGTATGTCTTACCTTAGTCTTCTTGTATTTTCTTTACTCATTATTTTTTTTTTTTGTTGCCTTTGCTCTTTTGGTTGAACGAATTTGCGCGAAGTATGCCCAGAACTGTATATCACTCTTTTTTTCTTTTCTGTTTGGAGAATACAAACTTTCTTTTGTAGTGCACTCCGCTTGCAAATGAGAAATAGTTTCTTGCGTATTCAGAAACAGAATACTCGATCGAAATTGTGCTAATAATCGGCTATCAGTCAAGTAATCTGCGTATAAACGCCTCTCGCGAAAATATTCCGTTGTGTCCATTGCTAATTCCCGTCCATATCGACGACGACATTGAAATTCATCCACTTCTTTCCAAGATTTTATCCCGTCTGGACAATTT